CGTTTTCAAGCTTCATTCATCTTCTTTTGATCCCGAAGCCAATCCTAGAGCTTTTTTTCCTTCAAATCTTCATCGTGAATCTTCCGGTGACCTCCAAAGCTATCAAATCATTCTCAAATGCTTCTCAAATCATCCCGATTGTTCCTCAAGTGCCGGTATCGGACTCAAATTCCCTGATTTTGACTACAAACAACACAAAACTCGAACCAACGCCCGGTAAACATAACTTGAACTAAAATTGAGACTTGCAACACCTTAAAGCTAGGGAAAACCATCAAAACCGATCCCAACACGCATCAAATACGTGTCAAAATACGGACTTATCAATTAACCACATAATTTGAGTATTCTTAATAACCGTGTCACCCCTTCTTGTTCCAATGTAAGTGAGACGGAGGTAATACTACGTATGAGGTATATATGTCGATATAAGTAACTGAAATATTTATATTGATATGCTATTTTAATTTTTTACTCCCTCCGCCCATTAAAACGTTATCAAGTTTGACTGACACAGAGATTAATAAAGAAAATTGTGTGATTGAGATTTGTAAAGAGGAGAGAGAATTAACTGGAACCATGAATTTCTACTCCAAAGGGAAAGTGACAAAGTTAGTGGGAATCTTCAAAAAGGAAAATTGACAAAGTTTTAAGGAACGAAGTAGGATATTTTATTATAAAACTGAAATAGTCATATATGAATATGAGAAACTATTATTCCGTGTGTAGTACGTATATAATACTATCTACGTCCTTTTTATTTAGTAATATTTGATTTTTCGGTCAAAAATAGATGGCAAACTTCGATCCATTTATTTAGGGGGAAATTTGAGTTTGCACACCCATTTTATTGTTCAAATTGAACTATGCACCCCAACTCCTTATGAAAATTTGTCGCAATCAATAGTGTGGATGACCGGCGTTCAACAATGTTGATTGAGATAAATTTTGAATGTAGGTAGTATATAACATCATCATATATTGAGATTGTTATGAAAATGTTATCGAACCATAACCTGCTTGAAAACGATTATGGGGCCATTTGATGACCATGGTTTTCAGCCCTTTCGGTTTATCAACATATCAGCCAACTTTTTTACCAAACACTTAACTTTTTTTGCTGTATTGACTGAAGTTACTATAAAAGACTATTTTAGCTGTTTTCATATTTTTTTTCTTTATTATATTAATAAGATACATTTTTTATATAATTTTTACATAATTCAGCAGAATCAGTCAATCCGGTCACTCCACCTGCAATTTCATAAATTTTAGCAGAACGAATCAATTCTGTCAATTTTGATATACCAAACATACTCTATATCATTGGCTATTTATTTGATCTCTAATTTTGTATACAAATTTCTCACATTCGCGCGTTTTAATCAATATAACATTTAATGTACTTTTTAATATATAATCGGTGAAAATTGAACAAGAGTTGAATAATAGTGTTTGACTAAATAAAAAGGGACAATACTTATTTTGTATTGTAAGACGTGAAATAAGAAAGAGGAAATTGATTTTTTGGTTTCATGTTTATATATATATAAATCATATGTAAAAATCATTGGACGACCTTCCCGATTGAATTTTTTGCTGAAATTTGGTATGGATGAACTAGACTTGATGAGGAACATACAAAAAAAAATTGAGCAAAAAATACCACCGGGAAGGCCCCCAAACGGAGGAGGCCGGACGGCGGCTCCCTGACCGGAAGATTACTCTCTCTCTCTATATATATATATATATATATATATATATATATATATAAAGGGGGTGGAGTACGTGGGGCTTGCATTTACAACAGTAGCTAGATTCTCAATAATTTAAGAAAAATAAAATGGATTTAGTAGGAAAGGCCAAGAACATGGTGACCGGAAAGCTTGCCGAGATGGAGAAACCGGAGGCGAGCATCACCGACGTCGACGTCAAGGGCATCGGCATGGACGGAATCTCGTACCACGCCAAGGTCTCCGTGAAAAACCCATTCCCGGTCTCCATCCCCATCTGCGAGATCGGGTACGTCCTGAAGAGCGCCGGCAGGGTGATAGCCTCCGGCACCGTCCCGGACCCCGGGTCGGTGAAGGGGAAGGAGACGACGGAGTTCGACGTGCCGGTGAAGGTGCCGCACAGCGTGGTCGTGAGCTTGGCTCGGGACATCGGTCGAGACTGGGACATTGACTATCAGCTCGAGCTCAGCCTCGTCGTTGACCTTCCCGTCGCCGGAAACATCACCATCCCGCTCTCCCACTCCGGCGAAATCAAGCTCCCCAGCCTCTCGCTCTTCTCCACCGCCTCCGCAAATTAAATTAGTCCAAAGTTTCCATTCCCAGTCTGATCTCATATAGATATATATAGACGATGGACGGCGTGTATATGCATGTGTATATAGAAGTATAATTGACATAAATACGGCCGCCGGATAATAGTGAGTACGGCCGTCGGAGGACAGCCATATTCTCCGGTCTCCGGTATGATGGAATAACTTTTCTTGTGTTAAATATTACGGAGTATTAAGTTATTAATATTAAGAAGTTAAACTTTTATATTGTCATTTGACTCAATTTAATTTCGGGATTGATGATCACCTTAATTGTTAATTCGAATTAAGGAGACGATCGGTGGGAAGTGAATCAAGTGATGATACCAATACAACTTATCAAGTGTTCAGAGAGGATGCTGGTAGCCTCATTAATTCGAATGGAATTCTAATTAACCAAAAATATTTCCTTAAACAAATATTTCCTCTGTCCCGCTAAAAAGTTCTCACTTTTCCTTTTTAGCAATTTAAAAAAAAGCCCCCCTTCCTTAATGGAGAGTTGTCTACATCAAAATAACGTCAAACAGTGTCGAAGCAATATCAAAACAGTAAAATTCACCTCTCGTAAGTTTATTTCCTTAATATAAGTGTAAGTCAACCCGGGAACTTCTAGAAAAGTAACTAAACAAATAGCCTAAAACTAAGATGAACATAGAACATCTATTGACTCCTTCCATATCTAATCACGTAATAATTAAGTGTACTATAAAGTCTTGTCGCTCTTCTTATTGATCTATAGAAAAAAACAAATAAAATTTTTGTCTTCGGTTATTGGAAATGGAGAATTGATTTGACCAAAAACCAATAAAGAAAATTCGACCCCATTAAAATTGTATGAACAATCGATTTGAAGAGCCATCGAAAAGTAGATCCTGTTGGAAAAATGTGTGAAAAATTGCATTAAATGGCTATTTTGGGGCAATTTTTTGAGTGGGATCCACTTCTGATTTGGGTCGGGTCAAAGTGGTTTCGGATTGTCCTTGCTTAGGGCTACAATTCGATATATGGTACGCTCAAAATGGATAACGGGTGAATGAGAAATTGTTTTTCGAAGTTTACCCGTTAGAAGGGAGATACGGATAATTTTTGTTTTTAGGAGAATATTTTAGGGACATGCCACCTAGGTTTCCCTAGGGGCGGCTGTCAAACATCGAGCTTGAAAGAGACTAGTGAATGAAATCATGAATAACCAAAGGCTACAATGGGATGACACGTAGAATGAAAAAAATATCTCGTGAATCCTTTCATATCCCTAACCCCGCAATAATATAGTATAGTCTCACAGTCTTGCTGCACTTGCTACTCCAAATAGAAAATAAAAATTACAAATAAATATTCCCGCTTCACCAGTCACCGGAAAAGGGAGAATTAATTTAACTAGCAACAAACAAAGGAATCTCTAATAGGCGGCTATCTCATATTCTAACATTCATCTTCAAAAAGTAAGATTTTGAACAATGAGGATGTTTTCTGGGTAGTGAATTAAAGAATTTAAGGTTTTCCTAAGCTTCCATTCTTTTTTATTTCTATCTTCACAAGTTTTGATCTTACTTCTTTTTTGGCCGAGAGTTTTGTCCGCTTCAAGTATGGGATATGTTCTTCTAGCAATGTCTAGAACCTGTGTGCTTCTCATTGGTGTGACGAACCAAGTGATGAATTTCCGTTGTTCGTGATTTGAAAAGTTAATTTGACATTGTTTTTCTAAGACCTCAATTACTCACTCGCATCCTGGACCACCGTCACACTTAGACAGAAAGAAAGCGTTCAACTTGATCTCTTTTGTTTTTGACATTCATGTGGATAAGGCAAGCTAAACACTTGATCCATGCGATTAAAAGTTATAGTAAATTTACTAATAGATAGTAAACGACACATATCCTTTAAAACTTTGTCATATTTCCTTTTTGGGACGTCCCAAAAAACTTTGCCACTTTCCCTTTTAATCAATTATTTTGTGGTTTCTGATATTTCTCTCTCCTCTGCACAAACCTCAACAACACAATTTTTATTTTATTATTCTCCGTACTGGTCAACTTTGGCAAAGTTTTAAGAGACGGGGTAGCATAATTTAGAATAATAAAGATACGATTAAACTCTTCCAATAAAATATGACGCGGAATACTTAATCAATGTGAAACCTGATACGAGTATAGTTTATAGGGAAAATGGAAACTAATAATCCAACCTTTTAGTGGTCTTTTTTCAATAGTCCCACCTTTTTGTTATTCATGAATAATCCAACCTTTGCACCTCATCTTCATTCACTGGTCCCTGACCGGTTGATGACCTGTTATTCCAAGTTATTTTCTTATCTTTGCAAAATATTATCTTTGTGAAAGGTGGAATTTATGGTATAATAGTTTGCAGAGATAAGAAAATAACTCGCAATAGCAGGTGATCAACCGCTCGGGGACCAATGAATGAAGATGAGGTGCAAAGGTTGGATTATTCATGAATAACGAAAAGGTCGGACTATTAAAAGAAGACCGCTAAAAGGTTGGATTATTAATTTCCATTTTCTCTAGTTTATATTAGGTCGGACTACCATGTGTTTAAGAGCCTCTTTGATGATCATGTTTTTCAATTTATCAAACTTATCAATCAACTTTTTTATCAATCACGTGACTTTTGATTTTGCGCGCTGAATTGTGTAATAATAGGAAAAAGTAAGATTGAAATTACCTTTCTGACTATATTGACTTGAATTACTATAGATGGTCATTATAGTTATTTTTACCTACTCAGTAAAATCAGTCGATTCGGCTAATTTTGATGTTATCAAACGGACTTTTGTGAATCACAAAATATATTTCGGTGAGCATGTAAACAACATTAGAAGATAACCTAGATAAAATCATTTGAATTTGTTTAATTTGGTTGGATTTTTTCGATTTCAGTTCATTTTGATTTTAATATGATTTGAAAGAAATACATTTAGAGGCCGTTTGAAATCACCGTTTTTCGGCGTTATCAGGCTTATCAACCAATTTTTTCACCAAATACGTAATTTTTGCTTTCGCGTGCTGAATTGTGTAATAAGCAGAAAAATTAAGGTTGGAGTTACTTTTCTAGCTGTATTAGCTGAAGTTACTGTAGATGATCATTTTAACTATTTTTACATATAACTTTTTCTTTATTTTATTAATAAAATATATTTTAAAAATATTTTTTCCATAAATCAGTAGAATCAGCTAATGCAGCCACTTCAGCCAGAACTTCATAAATTTCAGCAGAATAAACTAAATCAGCCGATTTTCGTGCTACCAAACGCGCTCTTAAATTCACACAAATTTAATTCTAATTCGGTTTGATGTGATTGAGTTCGATTAAAGTCATTAAACCAAACTCAAATGGCCACCTTTACTCCCTAAGCGGTAGCTGATTAACTCCAATACATCAATGTCTAACCACTAGTTAGTGTGGTAGAGTTGGATTGCAGCCTTCTAGGCGTTCCAGTAAGCTCTGAAGCGGTGCGGTGCGGTCCGACCCGAACCGGTTCGGACCCGGACTTTATGTTTGAATAGTTATCCCATTCATAAAATTCATAAAGACAGACCGGTACTGAAGGGATCGATCAATCTTATAGCCTGCAGTCATACCAGTTTATTATTCTTCGAATTTCGGGTGTTTTTTTGCTAATCGATTCATACCTGGAAATGGAAGAGCATGGGGAGCATCAGGGTCAGCACGAAAGATCGTTCCTGGGGAATATAGCTGAGAAGATTCACCAGAGTGGCAGCTCTTCTTCCTCCGATTCTGAATCTGACGAAAAGCCCGTGAAGTCTGAGGCGTCACATTCATCCAAAAACGCTAAGATTTGGCGGTTTTTCGGCCGGGAACGACCGGTTCATAAGGTTTTCGGTGGAGGCAAACGTATGCTGTTTATGTATTTTTACACGCACTCTTTATATTCATAGATATGCATGCTGATTTCCATATTAGGATTTGTTTTATTACACTTTAATTCAAAATAATGTATTTATGTTCATTTGCTGGTAGTTGGAAACTTGAAATGTACATGTTATATACTCTACACATTGATTTCCATATTAGGGTTGTTTTTTATTACCTTTTTCTTCAAATATTGAATTTTTGTTCATTTGCTGGTAGTTGAAAGATGAGATTAGAGGTTCAGAGGGCTAGACAATACCCGGATCTCTCTTATTTCTGCTATGATTGATTGTTTGAATATTATATCTACACAATCATATGATCAGCTTATCAGATGTTTTGACCGAATTGCAATCTAATTTTGTTTTGGTGGTGGATGAGGTGGGTTATGGGCTTAAGGTGCTTAAACTATGTAACTAGATCTGTATGTATTTAAAATTGACTAATTGTTCGCAATTCTGATTATTAACTTTACTGGGCAGCTCTATTTGTCTGTGATTGCTTTCTTAAGCTCGGAGTGTTACGTTTCTGGCTTGCTGCTTAACTGATTTAGGGAATATATTTTACTCCATAGTTTGTTATGTGCCGTAGCTCCCTTTAACTTTTAGGAAGCTTTTATCATCATGACCCATTTGGGGGGGGGGGGGGGCAGATGGCTCCCACAAAATGTATAACAAAGAAGCGCAAATAGTTTAGTGAGCCATTTTGCTTTATTCCATCATATTCCCAAGCCAAAAAACAGTGAAGCATTGACTCCATTGCAAATGATGGAAATTTTCGGTAAGCTTTATATTCTTAAAATTGAGAAATTTTCAATTGGATTGAAACATGAACAAAGTGTATAAATCAGAGTTTTCATGTTTATCCTAAAATAAGGTTCATTCAGTGCTAATAAAAGAGTAAAAATACTTAAAGCATCTTCTTGTAAGAGTGAATGAATCATATTTTGTGAAAATGTGTGATAATTTAATCCTTTTACGAATTTCCTCTATAATCTTTTTGTTGGTGAAGACCATCTATTATTTAAGAGAGAAATTTGGAAGTTTTTGTTGCTATCTGATTGAAGATTGACTTTTTGGAGAAGGAATACAGTTATTTTGTAATAGACTAATAGGCGAATATTATTCAAATTAGTATCTGGTTTCATTGGTTGCCTAATTGGTGCAGCTGCTGATGTGTTTTTGTGGAGGAACAAGAAGATATCTGCTGGACTCCTTGGTGGAGTTACCACTATTTGGGTTCTATTTGAACTGCTTGAGTACCACCTTCTAACACTGGTCTGCCATGTCTTGATCATTGCTCTTGTAGTTTCGTTCTTGTGGTCCAATGCATCATCCTTCATCAACAAGTGTGTGGTTTCCAAGTCTTTAGTCTTTACCTAATAATTACTACCCCGTCCCATTTTATGTGTCTCACTTTGATTTGGCACGATCATTAATAAAGTGGTTGAAAAAGTTGTGGTAGAGGTTTGAGTATAATAAAGTGTAATAGTGTAAGCCACATATTTCTTTCCAAAAAAGGAAAAGAGACACTTATTTTGGGCAACCCAAAAATGAAAGTTGGACAGGTAAAATGGGACGGAGGGAGTATATGGATAAGTTGGGTCTGTCCTTCATACTGAACATGTACATAATTATTATTTTGTCAGGTCTCCTCCCCGAATCCCTGAAGTCCACATTCCAAAGGATCCATTCATTCAGGTTGCTTCTGCCTTGAGAATTCATATAAACAGTGGTTTGCATTTACTACGAGAAATTGCATCCGGAAGAGACCTGAAGATGTTTCTTGTTGTAAGCGTCTGATTTTATAATCTTGGCACCTAACTACCTAAGGCTACATCCCCTTTTATCTTTGCATCGGGAAGGGTTACTTTTTATTTCTTTTCAAAACATCACCTTGATATTTAAAAAAAGAGGGTATCCTCAAAGTGATAAATTAGTATAAAATCAATGTCCTAGACTCCTAGTCATTCATTAATGAAATATTAATAAATACGTAGTATGTGACTATATAAAGTAATAGACAACAGTGTTACCCTTGGGGACCTATTCATTTGGTTCAATTTTTTTGGTAATAAGTTGATCTGGTCAGTTTAGATCTGATCAGATCGGGTCATAACAGTGTATTTTATTACTGCCTCCAGCCTTTATAACATTGTCATATTTCCTTTTATTGTTGTATAAAAAACATTGTCACATTCCCTTATATCAATTCATTAGTGGTTTTGGTTATTTCTGTCTCCTCACTTCAATTACACATGTTTTACTTTATTATTCTCTGTCCGGGTTGAATTTGTCAAAATTTTAAGGGACAAAGAGAGTATTATTTATTTATTTATTTAGTGTTGGTATGATTGGTTTAATTCTAGTCCAGTGTGGTCTAATGTGATCCGGTCCGATTCGGGAGGGAAACAATTCCAAGTGAAGAGGTCCTTAATATGCAGTGACCCTAGTGCTATTTGGCATGGACTGGTGACCACATTACAGTTCTAATTTACAATGTTGTAACCATGATACTATTTCATGCTGACATAGACTTTAGTGACTTTTTAGTCATAAAAATTGTCTATGAGTTCTATATTAGAAAAAATCCCGTTTATAACAATTTAATGGTGGTTATTTGATGATTAATTGATAACCTACTGTTTTTTCTTCTTTCTTTGTCTCTAGGTAATTGCTGGTTTATGGATCCTCTCAGTTATTGGCAGTTGGTGCAACTTTTTATCATTGTTCTATATATGTAAGTACACCCAACAATTGTGTAATTTTTGCCCAAACCATGCCGTTTCAAATGGGAGCGTTATACTTGATTTTAGAAAATTACCCCAGTGCACAGTTTTATTAGAAACGGTAGGAGGTAATGATGAATTTCTTTTCACTGGAACAGCGTTTGTAGCACTGCACACTGTTCCTGTGATATATGAGAAGTATGAAGACAAGATCGATCCGCTAGGGGAGAAAGCGATGGTGTGGGTGAAGAAGCAATATGCAGTGTTTGATGAGAAAGTACTGAGCAAAATTCCTAAAGGGCCATTGAAGGACAAGAAGAGGGCATGAGAAGAGTGCAGCAGGTTAACTATGTGTAGTCTATATATATAATCGTGTGTTTGTGATTATATGATGATTTGTTTTTGGGGTTCTTCACATATGATGAATTTAGACAGATTTGACGTAGTTAGCGTTTTGTGTGTGTTTCTTTGAAGTAGCATACAAAATCTCTGTTGTACTATGAAACTTGATGATATCTCGCGCTCCATAATGGTCATGTTTTTAGTTGAACTGCTTTCATCAGACCAGATTTGGACAGTCATAAAACGTACACGTACAGAGGCTATACATTTATTTTAGATCTGACCAGGTTAAAAATTTCAGTCTAAATAATTTTTATTTTTATTTCGCATGTTGAATTATGTGACGATCAAAACAAGTAAGGTTGAAGTTACTTTTCTAGCTGAATTGATAGAAGTTGTGGTAGAAGATCATTTTACCTGCTTTTTCATTCCTATTTTTCTTTTTTTATTAATAAAAAACATTTTAAACATAATTCTTTCATAGTGCAGTCAATTAAGTTGTTTTTTAATCAAAGTTTCCTCAAATTTAGCTAATTTTAGTGTTCCTAAATGAGCTCTTAAATTTGGATGTAATTATTATTGAGTCTAGAGTGAAACTTAATTAGATGAGCTAATTAATTAGCACTAAGCTACAAGTTCCTACAACGGTGAATTCTGTTGAAGTAAAATCATCTGTTATTTGATATTATTACTTGCAAGATCGGGTACCATCAGTATTTAGGTTTAAATTAATCCTTTTATTATTCCTATAAATTCAAAAATTAAACTTTTTTAGCTTTGGGATTATATATGTTAGAAATTATCAATCAAGGCCAACATGTTCAAAGTTTATACAAACATGGATCAACAAATCTTAATGTACACACTTTTACACACATCTACGCAACAGTAGAGTGCGTAAAAAAGGCCTTTTTCAACAGCAGCTGAAAAGGAGAGGGCCCATCAATGGATCATGAACATGAGGATATGGCCTAAGTGCCAATGGGGCCGGACAGTACAAGGAAGTGGTCTAGCCCAAATAAACAGAGCCTACAGCTGGGAGTCAAGTTGGAATATTGTCCAAATCTGACCCAGCCCACATAGTAGCACAGCAGAGCAGTCAGCCCAACCCCAAACACTTGGTTGAGCTCACACACGAGAATCTTTCATACAGATATTTTCCTACAAGAAATATCAGGCGCATTAAAAATTGTATTCTTACAAAATAAATGGACGACAGGACGAGCACACTAATGTAAATGACATGCAACATTGCAAACCGGCCATTGTCTCTGTAAATAACAAAAATAATTATTTGTGTTGATAATTTGTGAACTTTTCAATCCAAATAAATTTATCGAATTTTATCAATTCAGAACATGAGAGGTAGATGAATTGTCAATTCATGATTCGAAAGATGAAACGTATCAATATAGGACTCAATTGATGAAAATATCAATATGCGACCTATCATTTCATATGTTTTGATTTGTTTAATTTTTATTAATTCCATTGCTAGTTTTTCAATAAATTTTCTTCACAAAAGTTTATTAGTTTAATAATACGGAATATTTAAATTTTTAAAATAAAATAGTAATAAAATTCATGACAACTTAGGTCCTGAATTGACAGTTTTCAATCATTCAAGTTCTAAATTGATAGTTCGACATATTTCATCTTTCAGGTCCAAACTAATAATTCGTCTATCTTTCAGGTCCTAGATTGATAAACTTCCTAATTTTACCCATATAGAACCTATTTGGTGACGGTTAAAATTGGTATGGGTTATTGAAAAAACATATTTAAATATACAATGTATTTTATTAATAAAATAAAATAAAAAACTATATCACAAATAGCTAAAGTGGGCATTTACACTGGACTGAACTAGACCAGCAAATTAAAGTAAAAACATCTTAAATCACAATATATACAAATGTAATTTCCCTTTGGAAAATTTGACACTAATAATTCAACCTTTATCTGGTCTTCCCAAAATGGTCCCAATTATCAATAATCCAAAAACAAACCAACCTTTATATCCTTTCTTCTCTCAACAGTCCCAATGAAATATTTACCGGTTAGTTAAGTTTTCATTAAAAAATTATACCGGTTAGATTTTAAATAATATAATACCTGCGACAACATATCGACGCCCTCATCTAACTTCACCTTCGCACTTCCTCTGTTCCTCATACCTGCAACAACATACTACCTATGTTCTTAAATAAGTGCAATATTCTAAATTTTACACTATTCACATGTTCTACTTTGACTACATTTTATTTATTGATGTATTAATATATATATTTTTGAAATAAATATTACTAAAATTGTCTCATTGTAAATTTTCAAAATCTGATTTTTTTTAATTTTTTTACTAACAGAGAATTATATATATTAATGGTCAAAGTTGTGTCTCGGCAAATGTCAAATGTTGATCGTTGTACTTATTTAAGAATAAGTACACACCGACCATACCTTGGCTTGTTCGAGGCAGTTTATCAAGCCGACTGTAGGTGCTATTCCTTCTGGTGGCGACTCCGGCGAGCTACGACAGCGATCCAGCCGACGGCAGCTTTACCCCTTCCGGCAGTCCAATACACAGTGCACAACTGAGTCTTATTTCAGGTTGGGGACTTCGTGTATACATATACGTAGTATATAGTGGTCGGACCCTTTCATATCCCTCTTCCTTGCTCATTGGACTTTCTATGCCCTTTCTATTCCCAAAGTCAAATTTCATTTCCACTTTGTGTTCTTGAAAACTGTCAAATAGGTCCTCGAACTTTTATAAAAAGGTCAAATAAGTCCTTATATAAGAGGCTTTGTCCGGTCGTCGCGATTTGGGGCCGTTCCCGGTGGAATTTTTTGATGAAAATTTTTGAGTATCTTATTCATCAAATCTAGTTTACGCATACCAAATTTCAGTTAAAACTTCAACCGGGAACGCATTCAAATTAATTCTTGAAGATAACTGTGCGGTTAAATGCGCAATTATCTTCAAGAATTAATTTGAATGCGTTCCCAATTGAAGTTTTAGCTGAAATTTGGTATGAGTAAACTAGACTTGATGAATAAGATGCTAAAAAATTTCATCAAAAAATTCCACCGGAACCGCCTCAAATCGCGACGGCCGAACAAAGCCTCGTATATAAGGACTTATTTGACCTTTTTATAAAAGTTCGATGACCTATTTGACAGTTTTCCCTATATAGTTTTATACCGATCTGGAAATTAGGAATCAAATTAGAGAAATCTGTCATCAACTCCGTCGTTCTCTGTCCATCTTCTAGTTCAGAAACTTCCAATTACTCCATAGATGGCTATTGGTCGAAGGTATTCCAGCTTGCAGGGCCGTTTTTTAGCATGTTCATTAGGTTCGACGGAACAGGGCCTCACTTTGCATGGGGCCCCAATATTTATAAGACGTTAGTGGTATTATTTTTAGGTCACTAATATTAATTAATTGATTATGTAATGTAATAGTGTATACTATCATATATATATGAATATGGGCTGCAGCCTGCAGCTAAACTCACACTCCACTACTCCGTATAATAATGCCCTCATAAATTAAAACCGTTTACAAAAAATGTAGAGATTAATTATTTGAAAGGGAAAGTTGCAATATGTAATTCTGTAATTACATTATTTAATGAGTATTCAATTGATTTGAGTATAATAAGAATCTACATCGAGTATATTTTGTAGTTTTTTATATTAACGTGGGGCCTCAAATTTGCATTTTGAACAGGGACCTCCAAATTCTTTAGACGGCCCTGCCAGCTTGGTCTGTGATTTGGCGATAAAATGTTTACTTTTTTAGCCGGTCACTAGTCACTGGGACTGTTAACGGAAGAGAGGATACAAAGGTTGGTTTGTTTTTGGATTATTAGTAATTGAGATCGTTTTGGGAAGACTAGTTAAAGGTCGGATTATTAATTTATTAGTATAAAATTTTCTTTTCCATTTTACTTACTTCTGATTTCATCTACAGCGCGGAAGATACACGTGTGAAATTATTGAATGCAAGTCACTATAATTCCCTAAATTAGAAGTTAGAAAAACATGGCTTCACGTTGAAATTTAGTTTCATGAATGTGATTAACGATGGATTAAGATACTCTAACCCCCGCCGACCCACGTTGTATTGTTGTCGGCTCGTGGTCTAAATAGACGTAGTAATAAAAGATCTATTTGTCGGTAAATTTATTGTTGCCTTTTTCATTCGAAGAAATAATTGTTGCCTTTCTTGCATCATTTTTGTCTATATTTTATCGCAAGTCTTGGCAATGAACAATACTATTTGAGGTAAACATTAAATAGCTAAATAATGATAATAATTATAGAGTAATTAGTATAAAATTAAAAAAATGGATCAGGGGTAGTCATGATCGATATTTTATGAGCCCATAGCTATGTAAAGTACATGGTCGTGTTAATACCTGGGATTCCATCCTAAAAAGTGTATGATAGGAGGAGTAATCAAAAGTCTTATGTAGTGCTTTAATGTCTTATAGCTTTTCAGTGTACGACAAATACTTTAGCACGACGTCTCAGCTTGAAGCGGGCTGGATTATTTAGTTGTATAAATGGGTCCAACAGACCCAGCTTAACAAGCCGCCCTTAATCATGGGTCTAATTAAACAAGCGGTCAAAGCACATCCGAACTTGGCTCCGATACCATGTTATGACACGAGTTTCATCTAAAAGATCAACATGGTAGAAGGAGCACACTAAAATTTTATGTAGTTTTTAGTGTTTTATAGTTATTCGGTGTGGACCAAATACTTTAATGGACCGTAAAGATAATATAATATATACAAATGCATTACAAAAAGTATTAAACAGAACTTCCTTAAAAAACTATACAAATTGTACTCATAGATGCATCAAATATGCACGGGTGGAGATAAGGGGAGGCTAGCGGTGGCCTTGGCCCCTGCAAGAAAAAAATTGTGATGTATATACGTATGTATAAATTATTTATAAGTAGTAAAAAATATAGTGAGACTTTAAGCTATGGCCCTTGTTATATAAATACTTAAGGCTCGACCCTGTAACCTGTCATTTCTGACTCCGCCACTGCAAATATGAGACACTCAGGCCTGCATAATACAACATTATACGTAGTATTAAAATTTTATATACGAGAAAAGTACAAAATTATATTTCAAAAGTTGATAATTGTAAACGGGATTTAATTTATGATCTTTTTTGAAGTTATCTTAATATCTTCTAGGGGTCCACTGAAAGATTGCTATTCTATATATGAAAGGAAATGACACAATATATAGTGCAAAAGTCGAACTTGAAGTCTTAAAAGATTAAAGATCAG